GAACTAAATTCCACAAATCTGGTTCTTATCCCGAAAAAAGAAAACCCTGAAACAATCAAGACTTTAGACCAATCTCCCTTTACAACGTCAGCTACAAAACATTACCAAGGTCTTAGTCTGCGTCTTCGGGGGATTATAGCAAAGATGGTGGGCAATCATCAGTGCAGTTTTATAGCAGGTCGACAAAGCAGCGACAACATCATAATAGCACAGGAAGTCATACATTCATGAAGCAGAAAAAAAAACGGACAAAAAGGGTGGATGGTGATCAAGGTGGATCTTGAAAAAGCTTATGACCGCTTGGAGTGGAGTTTCATTCGGGAGGATACCATCTTAGAAGCTGGCATTGAAGAGAGTGTTGTGATATCATCATGGCTTGCATCTCTACACCCAAAATTAGGGTGCTTTGGAATGAGGAAGCGGAAGCAACAGAAGAATCAAGATGACCAGGGGAATCCGACAAGGGGACCCCATCTCCCCTTACATATTCACGCTTTGCATAGAAAGATTGAGTCATGTCATATGGACACCGTGGAAAGGAAGGAATGGAAGCAATCAAGCTAACCACTGATGGTTCTCCTATATCACATTTGTTCTTTACAAATGATCTAATCCTCTTTGGAGAGGCCTCGGTAAATCAAGCAGAGACTATGTTGGACTACATTAACAATTTTGTAATGCCTCTGGCCAGAAGATGAGTAATTGCCAAGACAAGGTGCACTTCTCACGGAATGTCCACTTCTCAAGAGCTATCGAGCTAAGTAAAGACTTGGAGTTGGTTTAACAGGAGATTTGGGCAAATACTTGGGCATTCCCCTTCTGCATAAACGCGTCTGCGCTGACTTTTGCTCCCCTCCTGGAAAAGACATGATAAATCCTGATTTTAACATATTATTGATATCTTTTTGGAGATATTTATCAATTAAAGTGAGATAAATTGCATTGATTGTGGGTATTTTGAATCAAATACTGATTGCATGAAATTAGAGATTTAATAGGAGATCTTATCATATTTTTATCTCTTTTTAAATAATTGATTTTGGATTTGGTGATAGTATCTCAATTTATCTTTTGTAGGTCTTAAAAAAATAAGAAAATAAAGATAATGGGAAAACTAAAAGGAAGGAAATAAAAAAATACAAAAAAAGGAAATTGGAGACACAACTTGGATGGCATCAGATTATGATATTATCTATATTTTTATGGATTCAAAAAGAGGCCATGGAAATTTTCCACACGCCAATCCTTCATATTTGATTTGGATATATATTATATCCCCTCCTTCACGCAAGTATCACGACGCCCCCCCCCCCCAATTCCTTCCCTATATATACCACCGTACACACACTCATACACAACACCTACACTCACACCACCGACTCGTAGTCACACAAGCCTTCAGATCCTCTCACGCATACACACCCACGCCGCCACACAACTCAAGTTCTTTCTCCACTAGTTTTCGTCTTTTTCCCTTTCGGCCATATTCACATCCCACACACCACCGTGCTCATATACACCGTGACGCCACCGCATTCCTATTTTTATACGGCCAATCCTCACATTCATCCTTCCATCCACAACCTCCATGGATTCTCATTCATTCAAAGTTATTATGGATTCTTCTAGAGCCATGAGAGGCTAATTTCCTTGTGCTTCTTGAAGATGGACGAGTAGCTTGAGCTTGGAGCTTCAACTAGGGGAGTATTTAGTTTTCCAATTGATTTTCTTCTGAACTTCATTAGATTTTTCCTGTGTTAGGAATGTTTTCATTTGATTTGGAGACTGAGATTATGCGTTATAATTTCTGTTAATTGGATTTTTGCGATTTAATTTGAGTTGCATTATTTGGAATTTGAATTCATATATATATATATATATATTTCTTTTGCACTTATTAAAATTATTTTATCTGGTGCATTGTTAGATTTTATGATTGAGATGTATTGCAATTGAGTGTTTCCGTGAGCATTCTTTGAGAGGAAAACAAGTTTTGTTAACTCAGTCTAAATTGCACATCAAGTGATTTTTAAAAGTGGCTTAATAACTTGACTACTATCTAGCGTTTAGGGTGGTTAAGTGTTGAGTTTACTCGACCCAAACCGTGTTTGGGGTTGTTTCTCTTAACTTGGTGTATTATTTTACTCCCATATCTTTATTAAGCAAGGATAGCTATATTTCATTTTCAAGAAGCCTTCTCATTACTACTGATTTTCTAAAATTCAAATTTGCATTTTTCATTCTTTCTTTATTAAAAATACAAAAAAAGTAGTTTAGATTTATTTCTTATTTTCATAATTAGTTTTATTAATTGAAAAATCATCTTCCAAATCCCTTCTTTTAATTCTTTGTCACTTAGTTAACTTAGGAATTAATAAAAGGCTCCTCAAGAGACACGACTCGAGTTGTGCTTTACTGCATAATTTGGTTTTATTTTTTATTTATTCAAGATGACTAAAAAGGTTCAAATCAAGATGCAAAGGAGACTAGCGGGATGGAAAAGGAACTGCCTCAACTTACCCAGCCGAGCTAACTTGGTGTATTATTTTACTCCCATATCTTTATTAAGCAAGGATAGCTATATTTCATTTTCAAGAAGCCTTCTCATTACTGATTTTCTAAAATTCAAATTTGCATTTTTCATTCTTTCTTTTTATTAAAATACAAAAAAGTAGTTTAGATTTATTTCTTATTTTCATAATTAGTTTTATTTAATTGAAAAATCATCTTCCAAATCCCTTCTTTTAATTCTTTGTCACTTAGTTAACTTAGGAATTAATAAAAGGCTCCTCAGAGACACGACTCGAGTTGTGCTTTACTTTACTGCATAATTTGGTTTTATTTTTTATTTAATTCCAAGAATACTAAAAAGTTCAAATCAAGATGCAAAGGAGACTAGCGGGATGGAAAAGGAACTGCCTCAACTTACCCAGCCGAGCTACCCTTGTGAAAGCAGTCTTATCTGCTATCCCTGCATAGTATATGCAAACCATCCCTCTGCCCAAGTACCTTCTAAGAGACCTTGAAAAGAAAAGTAGAAGCTTCTTATGGGGAGAAAATGATCAGGGACGAAAGACACACTTGCTCTCCTAGGAAACCATCATTAAGGATAAAAAACAGGGAGGTTTGGGAATAAAGGACCTTGGAAAGCAAAACAAAGCCTACCTGATGAAACTTTGCTGGAATCTAGTAAACAACAAAGAAGCCTTATGGGCCCGCGTACTTAGAACAAAGTATAAGTGTGGAAATGAAGCAATGCCAGAAGTGACCAAAAGATCGAATCGTTCCCTCACTTGGTAGGGCATTTGTGGAGTCTGGAAGAATTTTAAGAAAGGCTTGGGAGCTAAAATTGGTAATGGGCATCAACTTCTTTCTTTCTGGTTTGACAACTGGTCAAAGTTAATAAACCTCTAATCGATCTCATCCCGTTTACGAAGGCTGGATAAACAAAGAAGAGAAAGTCAAGGACTATATGGACTCACAGGGGGAATGGGACAGATTCAAACTGAGGGGCTGGTTCCCGAATCATATTGTGGATCAAATTATGTGTACACACCCACCTCGAGAGAGAGAGGAGAGGACAATTTGTTTGGAAACCTTCAACTGATGTTATTTTTCTGTTAGTTCTGCATATCGTTTTCTTTGTGCAGGTACACAGCATAGGGAGAATAATGTGTGGAGACTCATCTGGAGTTGGAAGGTGCCGAAAAGATAAAGTCCTTCATATGGCTGTGGTCACATGGCAGGGCTCATACGACAAAGCTAAGACACCAAAGAGGCCTGTTGGAGAATGCAAGCTATCCGTTTAATTGCTTGGTTGAAGAAGATGGAATGCATCTGATGAGAGACTGTGTTAATGCAAAGGAAAGGTGGTTAGCAATAATTAAACCATCTTTATGGAGGAAGTTTACTTCTTTACAAGGAGCAGATTGGATTCGATGGAATTTAAGCGTTGAGGCAGGGAGAAGTTTCACCAGGAAGCTTTCATGGAGTATACTTTTCGGTTATATCTGTTGGGACATATGGACATCAAGATGCAACAAGGTATTCGGCACTTCGTCAGCGGCCTCTACAAGGCAGGATGCCATGTCAATTTTGTTCAGGGCATGTTGGGACCAAGATTTGCTGGCCAGAAGCAACTTCAACAAGGAGCAACAGAGACATTATTATGGAGCTGAAACTACATATAGAGACTTTATCAAGCTTGAAGTGGATGGCGCGGTCCTTAATAATGGGAGTAGCGGTTGCGGTGGACTACTAAGAAAGTCAGATGACTCGTGGATACTGGGCTTTAGCTGCAAGTTAACGGCAGTACCGCCAGCCATTGCAGAACTAATTGGAATTATACAAGGACTCAAGATTTGCTGGGAAAAGGGCTACAGAAAACTCGAACTCTTGTCTGACTGTGTGGAAGCACTAAATCTGATGATACGGGATTATGACCCTCGGCACCCTTTTGCTGATATTATTAGTGAAGCTAGATATTTACTTTGTAATAGGTGACAGATTTCTGTTAATCATGTGTCTAGGACGGAGAACAATATGGCTGATCGGCTAGCGAGTTTATCCCATAGCTTATTAGGAGGTATTTGTTTTTTCAATCATCCCCCTCCACCGTCACCTGGAGGGATGATCTAGGAGCTTAAACTCTGGTTTGTTGTGGTCTTTAACCTCTTGTAAGGTGTTGTTCAGTATTAATCAAAAAAAAAAAAAAACAGCAGCGAAGGAAACAGTGCAGAACACTGATACATCTAAACCACAAGAACATTGTTTCACAGGCACCAAGCACTTCGTTGTCCAAAGCCAAAACCCAACCCCTAAAACCACGAAAACTGGGCAGCACCATTTCAAAAGCTCCATGCAAGGACAAAGAACTTTTTTTCTTCAACAGCATCCATTATACACAATAATAGTCAACCCGTTATCGTACTTCTGTGCTTCTAAAAGTCATATCTTCAAAAAGAATGGTCATTGCACAAGCCATAAATCATGAAAAAATATAATGGCGAAGGAAATAGCTTGAAATTTATTGTTCACTATGACCAGAAAAAGCCCAAAGTACATTAAATCATCCTCTCATTCTTCTCTTTTCCTTCTCTTATAAGCAGAAATTTGTTCGTCAAGAATACAATTCTATGGTTGATAAAAAAGGAAAAAAGAAAAAAAGAAAAAAGGAGAGAGACAGATGATTAAAGAACCTCACTCCTAAGACTCATCCATAGGGTCATTACGATTACACGATTGAGATCTGGAATTTCGATCATCTGGCCTTGCCTCCTCAGGGCCTAATGTCCTAGAAACAGAATCCTCAAGAGCCTCCAGAAAAGATAAAACTGTAAACTTGTCTGCAATGACAGACAAACAAGTCAATAATATTAAAATAATAACCAGATGATATTGTTTTCTGATATATTTTTATTGTTTTCTCACAAAAACAAGTAAAATGCTGACTCTATAAAAGATAGTCATGTTCCGTACATCAGAATCACAGAGCCTGTTTCACTCAAACAAACGCACTAAGAAGATTAAAGGGTTTTGTTCAATAACGATTTTGCTATCCCGTTTCTATTCGGCACATCATTAACAGTGTACAGAATAAGCAAAGACCAAACAAGAATTTTAAAATTCAACATGCTGATCACTTACATTTACTTGGATCAATTCCAAACTGAGACAAATCTATCTGACCCGTCCGAAGTACCTATAGAAAAAGAAAAATGCATGATAATACCCTTGAGAAATAAAGTTTGCAACAAAAAGATTTTAAACATGCCATAAAAACAGATGACCAGAAATAACATAGCTTTAAAAAAAAAAAAAAAAGGAATTGAACCAAAAATAAACCATCCTCACATAAGTGAATGAATCTACTTGCTGACGAAAAGGTGGGCTCTGCAACAACTCCAATATAGCTTCTGGAGACCACTGACCCTAAATTAAGAATGACATAAATATACTATTAACTAAATGAAGGACTTGAAAACCTCAGCCAAAAGTAGATAAATACCTCTGGTAAGTAGGGTGCTAAGCACTGCTCAATCGGCAATGTCTCAATTAATGGCATTACTAACTCAGGCTTCAATATATCCTCAAGTCCCAGACCTAACAGAATGCAAGAAAACAATGGATGTAGCTATACAACATGAAACACAATATTTAAGAAAAACCACCAGTACTTGAAATAAAAATTATCTGACTTGCCAGTCTCATTTCATAATAGAGGTTTGAAGATTTTTTTTTTTTTTTTTTTGGGGTTACAAGGCTTCAAGAAGTTTCGTTAAAAACTTGAACTTGCAAAGAAAACAGTCGATTTCTGAATAAGAAATGCATGATAGCAGCAAGATTTCCCACCACAGGCTTCAAATATGGAAGCAGATGCAAAAAAGAAAATGGCCTTTTTCTTTGTGCCACTCCTTTGGTGACCCAACTTCTCAAAAATTAGCATATCAAAATTCTGTATTGTTTAGTTTTTATGCATGCTCTCGACTAAAAGCAATTCAGTGAGACCTTCTACTTTGAATGTGAAAGCATCTGATATATTAGAGACTGAATGTTTATAGTCTAACAGGTGACAAGGACCATATGAAATAGCAAATCATACAATACCTCCATCTGGATCACCAATGCCATCTGCAAAATATATAATCAAAAACAAAAAGGTTCAGGCTCCAGAGAAACTGATGACCATTAGCATGTAAACATCACTTCACAATATAAAATACCTGAAGGCCCAATGTTATTCAATATCCTCTGGAGATCTTCCAATTTTACTGGGCCAGAAGATGTCAAATTGCTAGTCGCTTCGGCCCCCAAATTTGGGCCAACCAAATTCGCAGCTCTATTATACAAAAATGAAGTTTCATTGAATCAGTATATGAAAATACTAGATAAGGCTGGAAATACATTTGTGAATAGTAACCAAAATCAATCCCCAAACGGCAGACTGTACTGCTGCTACATGTTTTCTATACCAAAGGTCAAAAGACAAAGAAGCATGAAAAATATGAGAATTTAAGAAATCATTCTCTGGCAAGAATAATAGATAAGACCAAGTTAAAAACTTAATAACGTGCACAAGTAAATAATGTGGCCATGCCCATCTAGTTCAGTAGTCAATAGTGTAGAAGTTGACATCCAGATTCTTAGCCTCCTATGTCTTTCCCTTTATGAGGAATGATTAAGAGGGGCATAAATTTTATCCAGAATTTCAAATTAGATCTGCATGATTCTAGGCCCTAATCTTCAATTGACATGACAGATTAAGCCCCAAAAAGGAAAACCTCTGCCCAAATGATACTGTCTGGAATCAACCTAGCCCAGCCAAAAGTAAACCAAATTCAGAGGAGTCAGACATAAATTGACACCTCTGGTGGCAAAATTGGAAACCATCTGCCCATTGGACAAGAGCCAACTAACAAAATGGAGGTATCTACCAGATAGGCAAGGATTTATAATGAGGGTGAGGGAGACACGAGGGAAAGCAATGCAACCCGTTGATGGAAAGGGGGGGAAAAAATACTGATATTTTATCCAAGTACTGAGCTGAATGAAAAGCCTGCAACCAAGGATTTATAAAGGAAGCTATTACTGAACACTTAGAATAATGCTCGAAATAGTACTAGCATTCCAGAATTCCTAATTCAAGCCTTGATCCAGACTTGCACATAGTTACGCATCTCATTGATTGCAGAACCCCATATATTCTTTTCCATTATTCATCAGAACAGTAATGAGTGTAATACCCCCCCATCCCATAGTATTGTAAAAGCATTTCAGCTTGCATGACACATTAAGCAAGCATTAAATCATGATGGGTGATGAATATAAGTGACCACGATAGTAATAAGAACTGTAAGTAACTAAAATGGTGCACGATTACAGCATGTCTACAAATAATTTTGGAGTAAATTGAACAATAGTAAGTTGTATGAAATATATGCAGAAATCATATCAGCCAAAATAACAAAAAGTTCAAACAATCAAGGAATGGATGATACAGTCCACTCACTTGTAGAATGTACCCTAAAGAACAATATCATAAAAAGAGACAATAAGCAGCCCGAGACTAGAGAGTAGCAAAATATATGGGGCTCATTAATTGGTGCTTGCATTGAAACCCGCAAGGGCATGGCTTCAAGAAAGTGCTGTAAATCATTATGTGCAATAAAAATATAAAACTTCTTGAAAACTAGGGATTCTCATCCTTTCATCCCACAAGATTCATTGACCTAGAAGTGGAAAGAAAACTAGAAGTTGGTATTTTTCTCACTGGCGTGCTTGAAGTCAATTTCTCCCCGCAGGTCATTTCAACCTCTCCATCTCTCCATCATCCCTCTTGCCCCACCACCATCTCCTCCTCTTTCTCCCTTTCACTCCCTCGTGTAGGTCTCACTAACCATCCGCCGTCATCTAAATACAAGCTTCCCCTGTCAAGCCACCCCATCATCCCCATCTTTTGAACTCCACAACAATAGAGATGATGGGCAACACTCACAACAGAGCAGCAGCATCTCCTCCACCACCATCTCCTCCTCTTTTGTGCAATTGCTGATTGCTCTTCAACATATTGGGTTTCTGGATTTGCCAAAATTAAATCGGGGCCTTTTTTAATATTGGAAAAATTAACATTCCAGTCCTTATACTTTCATTCAATTTTGAATTAGGCCACTATGCTTTATTTTCTAATCAGCTCCTCATAGATTCTGCCATTATATCTGTCCATCCCTCTATTGTCCAAGGACCAATGGAGACACTAACGCCACTTGAAATAAATTATTCTGCACATGGTGGAGGGGATGGATTAGTTAAGGTTCAAACATAGCGTTTCTTGTTTCCTAGAGTGAAGAGGAAGCCCACAACGAGGAGAACATAACTAAAAATCATGTCTGCCACGTCATATTTGATGATATTGGCTGTGCTTTTTAGGATCTAGCCTCAAGGAGGACGATTGGCAAGGCTAAAGAGTGGGACAGACTACTATTGCAGCATGCATAATAAGGAAACAAGGCCAGCAATGGCCAGCCACAACACGCAAGGTAGAGACATTCTATTGTGGCAACATGGGTTAGGCCATCCTAGCTTTAACTATATGAAGCCTTTGCTTCCACATCTATTTAATAAAGAAAACTCTACTTCTCTTAATTGTGATATGTGTCAATTTGCCAAGCAAACAAGAGCCACTGATTCAAAACAACCCTACAAGCTCTACTTCTCTTAATTGTGATGTCTGGGGTCTGGCCAAAACAAAAACCCTTTCTAATGCCATGTGTTTTCTTGCTCAAAGAGAAATATGAAGTTTTTGAGACTTTCAATAGATTTCTTGTATTTATTAAAAATCAATTTCAGACCTCTATCAAAGTTCTGAGAAGTGATAATGCAAAAGAATATCTATGCAAAAGTTTTAAAGACTTTCTCGAACAACAAGGAATCCATCACCAAACTTCTTGCGTTTTTATTCCCCAACAAAATGGGGTGGCCAAAACGAAAAATAGGCACTTGTTGGAAGTAACCTGAGATGCAGTGTTAACCTCAGCTTACCTCAAATAGGGTGCCCTCTAAGATCGTAGACTTTAAATCTCCTGTCCAAAAATTACTTGAAATCTACCCTAATTCTCCCCTAATAAACCAGTTACCGCCCAAAGTCTTTGGTTGTGTGGTTTTTGTGTACAAGAATGAAGGAAAACTTGATTCAAGATCTGAGAAGTTACCCAACACAAAAAAGGTATAACTGCTACTCCCCAACTACCAAAACAGTTCACATCACTAAAAATGCAGTTTTCTATGAGGAGGATGCATATTACCCTAAATTACCCATTCAGAGGGAGAACTATGGAGCTAAAGAATTGCTAATTCAAGAACCTGCTGTTTCTCCAACACCACACAGACCTGAATCACCACCACAGAGACCTAAATCACCACCACACATGCCTGAAACAACAACACACAGACCTGAGAAAGTGCCAGAACCACCAAACAGGCCTGAATCACCACCACACAGACCTGAAACAGCACCACACAGACCCAAGATGGTACCAGAAACCCTAGATAGACCTGAAACATTACCTGAACTATCAAACAGACTCAAAACCTCACCTCAAAGCTCACCCAGAATCACGAACCAAGATGATGAAGAACGCACACAAGAAACTCAAGAAATAAACCACCTTAATAGTGATAATGGCATGGAAGAAGAATTAGAAAGAGATACTCCCACTACAGGCAAGACCATGAGTCGAACACAGGGACAAATCTTGAAGAAATGGGATGGCCCAGTGCTCTAAGGAAGGGAGTCAGATCCTGCACTCAAACCCCATTCAAAGGTTTGTCTCTTATGGGAACTTATCTACTAGAATGAGAAACTTTGATGCTAACAGTGCATAGGTTAAGATAATGGAGACTTTCCAGCAAGCTATGACCAACCCAAATTGGAGGAAAGCTATGGAAGAGGAACTACGGGGGCTCTTAAGGAGAATCAGACGTGGGATGTCACCCACTACCTCTAGGGAAGAAGGCGGTAGGATGCCAGGGGTGTCCACCCCAAATTTCAACCCCGATGGCAGCTTGAATAAATACAAGGCAAGACTTGTCGCAAAAAGCTACACTCAGACCTACAGGATCGACTACCAAAAAACTTTTGCCCCAGTGGCCAAATTCAACTCCATTAAAATCCTACTTTATATGGAAGCTAACTTGGACTGGCCCCTACATCAACTAGCTGTGAATATCGCCTTCCTAAATAAAGACCCTGAGGAGGAGGTATATATGGAAGTGCCTGAAGGGGTACAGGAACCTGAAAATGCCACTAAAGTCTGCAGACTCAAAATCATTAAAGGGGTTCGTCAGGCCATGCTTCGTGTTGCTGGTTTTCTCACTTTTTTCCCTAGTCTTATCGGTATTTTGGTCTTCCATATAATATTCCCCCAGAACATCAAATGGAGCATTATGGTTCCGTGATTTCATAAATCATTAGACCAAGATGCATATTCACTATTATATCAGAATTGCAAGTACGTCTTATGAGTGGTGATATACAATAATTAGAATGAAGCTCAACATTTTCTAACTGAAAGTAGCAACGACGCAGTTACGTACCTAATGGCCTGTTTAAGTGATCATTCACCGAGTTGCAAAGCTGTGAGTCACCGTCAGCATTTGGCTCCTAGAAACAATGAAGAAATCAATCAGAATTTAAAAAAAAAAAAAAAACAGCCATAGCACAAAAAAATAGAGGAAGGTGAATTTGCAATATGATAAACCTGCATCCAGAAGAAAAACTTCCTGTCGTCGCTGTTGAACCTTAATATGTAAACCCTCCCAGATGCTTGATTAACCTAAGCAACCAAGAAAAAGAATAGCCAAAATCATCATCAAGAGAGCTAAGGAATTAAAAATATCAAACTAATTGACACGAACAAGTGATACCTTCTCAAAAACAGCCTCATTGGGGAATATTATCTGATCCTGTGACAGCTTTGGTCAAGAAAATTCAAGCACGCTCAGCAGAAAGCAACCAAAATGTTCATTTTAGTCCTTTGACTGATTTATTTGTTTCCATCTAGTCCCTTTTCATATTTTGGTTTAATTTCATCCCTAAACTCATCACAACATGTGCCACTTTTGTCATTTCGCATTACGTCAATGAATCAAGGACCATTTTGGAGCTCAAAAGGAAGTTCAGGAACCACTTTGGAAAAAGGATATTAAAGAAGTAATCTGAAACATTAAATAAAGTAAAGGGGTGAATGCGGAGAATTGGAAGTTGAAGGACCAATTTGAATAAAAACAGCTAAGGGACAAAAGCAGTAACTGAGCCAAAATATAACGAAACATTCATTCAATACATTTCTACATCTTGGTTTATAGAAACTTCAGGTTATCACGTTGAAAATCTACAAAGTTAAAGATTAACAAAAATGGACAACTCATTCTGAAATGTGCACTCAATCAATGCTTCTACATTTGGTTGAAAATCTCACAAGCTACAATTTTACCAACACAGAGGGATTGGAAAGCTCTTTTTGAGTTAATATTTCCCCTCCTATGGCATGCCTATATTTCCATCCACACGTCACACTAAAAGTTCTGTCATCTGTGACTACATTACAGACATAATAATACAATTCTGATATCTTCTTTTAATAGCTTAAACATTGGGCATGAAACGATAATCCTTGACATTTGCTATAGGAACACTCCTTAGCGCACTACTTTTCTTTGAGTAAGTAATGTTTCCACCACATTAAATCAAAATAATCTCATTTTGTGTATGACAGACGAAACACAATTCTCACAAGAAAAATTAAAACTAAACACCGAGAGAGGGAATTGAAGAAACGGACTGAAATTGCCGGCACCACAAACAAGAAGCATTATCATGGAACACTTAAATGCTGCCCAAGCACACAAAAGCTAGGATACATCTTCAACAAAATTTTGAATCCGATCAAGCCACTGAAAGTGGACTAATCCCTCCTCACCCTGAAACAAACGAAAGTCAACTTATCTAAATATATCAAAGTAGTGGACTTCATTATTTGAAACATGTCAAGATAATGAAAATTAGTGTTCAAAAAGATTAAATTTAAAGGGAGGACATTATTTCAAAGAAAATCGCCTCCCACCTTAGCAATGCGAATAAGCCCTTTCCGTGTGTCAGGGCAAACCTTTTTCCCCTCAAGAAACATTTTACCAGCACGGAACTCCAACATTATTTCCTGCCAGTGAGGAGAGGAGAGCGATAAATCATGGAATTCTCAGAAAAAATGTTAATCTTCACGCAAACAGGGGGGGAAAAGTAACAGCCCGCTCTAACGGACAAATAATTAAGTTGGGGATGTTCGAGCATTCGTAGCATTTAACTATTTAGATGTTAACCAAAAGGGTCAAAAGATGTGGAAGCAGCACCTGCCCATCTTGAGGACCATCGGGTAAAGACGAACTCATGGGTATAGCTCCGTATTATACAAAGAGAAAAAGCCTATAAAGAGCAATTACAAAGAAAAGATTCAGCAGTGATTCAAATAAATTTCATACACCAGGAAAAACCCTAGATAGATAGAAAGACAAAATGCAACCCATATTACTAATTTAAAACCTAATCAATAGAAGCCGTGTTCTGCTAACCCCTGAGCAAGTAATGCATCTAGCATATCTAGGGGACAGCAAAATAAAATATAATAGAGCGAGCCAGCGACAGGACGAAAGAGGAGGGTTCAGTTTCTCTCCTCTATTTTTTGTACCCGCTGCTGTCCGCTGCCGTCAAACGAGGCCGTTTTGACAGCTCTTCGATGAAGCCAACACGGCTGACAAGGGAGAGAATAGCACGGCTGCGGCTTTTGATTTTTATAGCCTGTTAGACTAGGGGTGTGCATGAGGCCCGCATGCCCAATAAGCCCGCCCGAGCCCGCAAGAAAAATGCCCAGCCCAACCCAGTAAAAAGCTGCCCAAGCAAAAATGGGCATCTTCGGGCCGGGCTGATTCACGGGCAGGGCAGGGCCGCAAGCAAGGTATGCTGCCCTGCCCATTTGGCCCTGCCCGAAAAAATATATAATTATATATATAAGATAATATTATTTCAAGCAATTATCTCTTTTATTTTAGCTAAAAAAATAGGTGAAATTAGAAAAAATGAAAGGAACATAAAAATTATAATTATATAAAAGAGCTAAATATCAAAATATAAGATTCAATATGCTAAATTACTCCAAGTCAAATGTTCTTTTTTCTCTTACATCCAATTTTTTAAAACAAAAAAAAAAATAAAACCACCTTTCAAATTTTGTGCTTTCACATGATTATAAGAATCCACCAACTATATGGATAAACTAAGAAATTGAAATACTGATTTAGCTTAATTATTAAATATTCTAATTATTAAATATATTTTTTTTACCTCCCATAAGAAATCAAAAGCTAAAGAATAAGACTACATAGGCCTTATTTATATATATGAGTGATAGACTCATTCGTGATAATTTTTTTCCTCTCATTTGTCTTAAAACATGATAATTGATTTTTTTTTTTTTACATATGACATAGGGCATTGTGTCATTACACTGGGCAGAAAAGCCCGTCCTACCCAGCCCGCCCTTGCCCTGCCCAAAATGGTTAGGGCTTCTACTGGACAGGGTCGGGCAACGGGCTGCAAAACGCAGCCCGCTCATCTTTCGGGCTGGGCATCGGGCAAGGGGCTTGCCCTGCCCAGCCCTGCCCATGTGCAGCCCTATGTTAGACTCAGACCTGCCCTTATTTATTTTCCTTCAACTGCATAATATGATATAATTTATATATATTATTATCTCTGATTTTTAATAGGGTAAAAGACAGAAAAATGCTATCTTAACTTCATAATGACCAAAATATCCGCTAAATTTGCAAAATGTCATTTTGATCACATGAGACCAAATTGGCATTATTATATCAAATGAAAAGACCTATTGCCCTTCCTTTTAAATATTGTTTTTAAAGTATCACAGCCCCACTGGTCGGCCGGTCGCCGGAGCTTCATCGGTCGGAAATTTTTTTTTTGAAAATTTTTACAACTTCAGTATAACGGTTAACAACTTTTGTGACGTTATTAACAATTTCAGTATAACAGTTAACAACAGGTTTCAGCGGCCGGAAATAAATTTTTTGGAAATTTTTACAACTTCAGTATAACAGTTAACAACTTTTGTAACACTATTAACAATTTCAGTATAGCGGTTAATAACAGGTTTTTGGAAAAATTCAATAATTGGACACGGAGCTCCAGCGGTCGGAAACAATTTTCTTGAAAATTGTTACAACTTCAGTATAATGGTTAACAACTTTTGTAACACTATTAACAACTTTAGTATAACAGTTAACAACAAGTTTTCTGAGAAATTCAACAAGCTCCGGTGTCCAGAAATAATTTTTTTGAAAATTTTTACAACTTCAGTATAACGGTTAACAACTTTTGTAACGTTATTAACAACTTCAGTATAGCAACTAACAACAGGTTTTTCGAGAAATTCAGCAATTGGTCGGCGGAGTTCCAGCATTTTTTTAAAAATTTTTACAACTTCAGTATAACAGTTAACAACTTTTGTAATGATATTAACAACTTTAGTATAGCGATTAACAACAGGTTTTTGGATAAATTCAACAATTGGTCGCCGTAGCTTCGACGGTCGGAAACAATTTTTTTGAAAATTTTTACAACTTCAGTATAATGATTAACAACTTTTGTAATGCTATTAACAACTTCAGTATAGCAGTTAACAACAGGTTTTTGAGAAAATTCAACAATTGGTCGCCAGAGCTCCGGCGACTGGAAACAATTTTTTAAAAAAATTTTTATAATTTCAGTATAACGGTTAACAATTTTTATAATGTTATTAACAATTTCAGTATAGCAGTCAACAATAAGTTTTTTAAAAAATTCAAAAAGTAACATTTTTACAACTTCAATAATATCGTTAACAAGTTCTATAACTCTATCAACAACTTTAGTATAGCATTTAACAACATATTTTCTTAAAAATTTGAAAAAATGGCATTTTTATAACTTTAACAACTACTTTTTTGAAAAGTTTTACAATTTCAGTATAATGCTTAACAACTTTTGTATATCTATTAACAACTTTGATATAACAGTTAACAACAAGTTTTTGAGTTCGTTAACGGTATTACTGAAGTTGTAAAAATGTTATTTTTTGAATATTCCAAAAAACCTGTTGTTAACCGCTATACTGAAATTGTTAATAGCGTTACAAAAGTTGTTAACTGTTATACTGAAATTGTAAAAATTTTCAAAAAAATTATTTCCGAACACCGGAGCTTGTTGAATTTCTCAAAAAACTTGTTATTAACTGCTATACTAAAGTTGTTAATAGCGTTACAAAAGTTGTTAACCGTTATAGTGAAGTTGTAAAATTTTCAAGAAAATTATTTCTGACTGCCGGAGCTCTAGCATCCAATTATTGAATTTTCCCAAAAACCTGTTATTAACCGCTATACTGAAGTTGTTAATAGTATTACAAAAGTTGTTAACTGTTATACTGAAGTTGTAAAAATTTTCAAAAAAATTATTTCCGGACACCAAAACTTGTTGAATTTCTCAAAAAAACCTGTTGTTAACTGCTATATTAAAGTTGTTAATAGCGTTACAAAAGTTGTTAACTGTTATATTGAAGTTGCAAAAATTTTCAAGAAAATTGTTTCTGACCGCCGGAGCTCTGGCATCCAATTATTGAATTTCCCAAAAAACCTGTTGTTAACCACTATACTGAAGTTGTTAATAGCGTTACAAAAGTTGTTAACTGTTATACTGAAATTGTAAAAATTTTCAAAAAATTTATTTCCAGCCGCCAGAACTTGTTAAATTTTTCAGAAAACCTGTTGTTAATTGTTATACTGAATTGTTAATAGCGTCACAAAAGTTGTTAACCGTTATACTGAAGTTGTAAAAATTTTCAAAAAAAAAAAATTTATGACCGACAGAGCTCCGGTGACCAATTGTCGATTGGTCACCGGAGCTCCGGTGACTGCCGTTGCCGAAGCTTCGGTGACTAGCCGGCCAGTGGGGCTGTGATACTTTAAAAACAATATTTAAAAGGAAGGGCAATTTGGTCTTTTCATTTGATATAATAATGCCAATTTGGTCTCATGTGACCAAAATGGCATTTTGCAAATTTAGCGGGTGTTCTGGTCATTATGAAGTTAAGATAGCATTTTTCTGTCTTTTTCCCTTTTTAATATAAGAAATAGTTAATTAATTTAAATAGATTAAAAAAATTAGTTAAGTTAGTTATTTTTAATAAATAAGTGTTTCTCTTCCTAAAATACCCTTACTAATCATGTGTATTAGCTAAAACTATTATTTGATGAAACATTTAATATGTACAGTTACTACAACAACTACATTGGAAAAAATAGACAAATATAAGAAACAAAATAAATTGAGGTCTTATATTTAGAATTAAATTAAATATCAAACTAACTCTTATATTAAAAACCGGAAGTAGTACATAATAACATACAACAATGCTAGGTGTCCATGTGTGAAGCGGGACGAAGGCTAACATGGCATCCACCTCACAATTTTTCCAGCATAATAGTTTTTTACTCCTCCTATCATTAATATAGAAATTAATTATGGAGTTAATATTAGTTCTATATATAAGAACTATTTCACATGTCTATCAATTATTTTCCAAGTTAAAGTAGGAGACGGGTGAAAGAAATTAAGGAAGATGCTTATGGTATTTTTAAAAAATTATATTAAATAATTTAATTAATATTCTTAATCTATTCAAATTAGTTAATTAGGTCTTATATTAAAGACCAAAAGAGTACTAATAATTCACAGAAAAAGAAAGACAATGAAGGAACCAACTTTTTGCCACAACCTTCTGCCACCTAACACCAACATGGGAAAACATTTGAAAATTGGTAAACATGACTCATTATAATCCATTGCTCGAAAAATTTAAAAAGCGTAAATATGGAATGCACACCTTTTATGATTGCCCACAGAAGTTTACAATCCTAAACTCCGGGAAAATTACACACAGGTCTCATAGAAAACAATTAATTTAGAAAAAATTCCTGAAAATCTCCAAATACTTCCTAAGTCCTCAAGGACCTCTGGATAATTAATTTCAATTGTGATATTACCTACTTACCCCACATTAATTTGAGTGTGAATAATTTGCTCGCCTTAAACCCTCTAGACCACCTTCGCGTTTCCAACTTTCCATTACAGCACAAGCGGCTTCACATCCATCAGCGGTGAGCTTTACTCACACCGTTGGTGAGCTTCGTACCCCATCATTGATGACCTTCACACCCCACTGCCAGCGAGCCTCGTGGGTTCCTTCATCGACAAGCTTCGCACCCCCCGCCAGCGAGCCTCTCTCTCTTGGTATATCAGATTGATATTATCTATTACTGGCATATTTAGGTGAGGTGCTTCTCAGTTTCAAAGCAATAGTTGTTAGCTCAGATGGTATCTTGTTACAATAGAGCCCTGAGGATCCTGACCCATGCAAATGGAGTGGAGTGAAATGCAATCCAAAATCCAAAACAGTTATCACTCTATGAGTTTCCATGATAACTTTTCTTACTAAGTTCATGTTATATTAGTAAATGATTCTAAGATTTGAGGTGCATTGTGACAGACAAATTTTTCTTAATCTTATATCTAACTTTACTTTCATTGGTGATATTCTAGGAGTTTAGCTCGCCATAAGTTTAGTGGATCTATACCACCTGACCTTAAGAGTCTAGAGCATTTGACTGTTCTGTATGTACTTTTGATTATGTATAATTTTTCTGAGACATTTGATTATGTTGCTTTATTGCTTGCTTGTTGGATCTGATTTAATCATCATCTGTGTATGCTAGAGTGCCCTTCACAACAATAATTTCTATGGGACAATTCCATCTAAATTGGGAAATTGCATCGACTTGCAGAGAATGTATGTATCTTATTTTTTTCCTTTTCCACATTGATTCTCTTACTTGGGAAATTATATATAATTATCTTAGTAGGTGAAGAAATTATGATAAAGTGATTTAACATCATAACTAAGCACGTAGTCCTTAATGATATAGATAAACATGTTTTCCTATACAATACACAAAATATGAGGGATGAGCCGTGTTATTCATGACTTTTGATTAGTGCAGCTTGATAGAGATTTTATATCGATATGTTGATATATTGATTTCACACTAACATTTGCCATAGTATTTTTTCTGTTGGCCTTCTATAGAACTTGACTTCTTAGAAATCAAGTTGCTAATAGGAAATATTAGGTTTTTGTATTGGTTCTAACTAATTCCTCTCGAGAATAATTTGAATCTTTCTTATACAGATTCTTACAGGGTAATTACCTAAGTGGAGAGATTCCAAATGAACTAGGAAACCTATCACAGCTCAGAAGTTTGTGATTGCAGTATTTTAGTGTAGTTTCTGGTTCATTTCATCCAAGTTATATTGTTATCAGGATGGACAAATCGCATTCATTCATCATATTCCTGTATTTTCTAGGGATATATCAAGTAACTCCCTCAGTGGGAATATACTCCATTACTTGGGAAACTATATAATCTCAAAAATTTGTAAGTAGCCTTAGTTTTCTTTGTTTTTTTGTTTTTCACTTTGCTCTTTTTTATTTATATCTTTTGTAGATTTTACTATCAAAGCAAAATTGAATGTTCTTGTTGTTGTGGTAATGGTTGATGCTTTGAACCTTAAAGTAATGTTTCAGCCAATTTTCTGGTCGGACCAATACCTTCTGATGGTGCGCTTGCTAACTTTATAGTAGACTCATAAGTAAAGCTCTCTCTTATTATGCTCTGTGCTTCATTAGGTTATATATATTATAAACAAAGCCTCAAGGATATTATTATTGATTTTCCTAACTAAAGAGTTTAACTACTTAGGAACCACTCATTTTTTTCACTCTTGCATATTGACTCTAATTATTGAAGTTGACGATGAACTTGTATATGAAGCACTTGATCTCTCTGCTGACTTGGGACAACCTTCTATAGAACAGTGGCAATTTTAAAGTGACAAGTAGTTGGAAAGTTATAATGTGATGACAGTATTTTTTTTTCCTTTTTACAATTTAACAAAATCGCTAAAAAGAGTAAGAGCAAAGATGGATAAAGCCCTAGGAACTTCTCTAGATATATACTATTTACTGAAGAATTTTATGAGAAAAACAAAAAGAAGTTCAAGTCTTTTGAAGAGGGTACTAACTCAGTCAAAAAGGCTTGGGGGAAGATAACAAAACAGGAGATAGAACAATATAGTGAAAAGGCTAAAGAAATGAGAGTCCCACTGAAAGGGAAGAACTATATTGTTCCCTTCCACACACAGTGTGCTCCGGGACAATTTATGAAAGTTTGCAAGCACTTAAAGAAAAGGCCAGATAAGATGAAAAGGCTGAAAAGGATTGGTTTTGATAAATTGGTTGAAATATGCTACTCACAAATTTATAGAGATTTTTATGGTAAATTGATCCATGTGTTTGACCTTGTAAGTAAGAAAATATCAATTCGAGGGAAGACGCATGAAATAAGGCCTAAAGATGTAAATCAATTGATGGGCTTACCATTTAAGGGACAAGAAATTAAAATGAATATGGAGAATGAAGATGAAACATTTAAGGAATTAAGAAGCGACTACGAGAAAGTGCCATACAAAACAATAGGAAGATAGTTGATTGAAGGAAAAGAGGATGAAAAGTTTGAATTCCTTTTTGTTATGTATGCATTAGGAGTCCTCTTGTATCCTAGGTCTAGTGTATGGGTGAGTGATAAAGTGTTGAAGGTTATGGTGGCGACAAATGATAGTTTAGGACACTATGATTGGAGCAGCTTTGTTTTCAGAGAATTCTGTAACTCAATTGCAGAGTTTAAGAAAGGAAAGAAGAAAGAAAAAGCTGATGGAACGAAAAATATGCAAGATTGCTTGTACTTTTTAATGGTAAGTGTATGTATGATTCATTTACTTTAATGTTAATTATATTGTCAATGTGCTATGTATGTTGTAATTGGTTGCTCTATATGTTGTCATTTACTACTCTATGTTGTCATTCGCTGGTATGTATGTTGTTAACTACTTATGTGTATGTTGTGATTGGCTGGTGTGAAGGTTGTTATTATCCTATGTGCAGGTTGTCACTGGCCTCTGTTGGTTTGTCACTTACTTATGTATAAGTTATAATTGTTTGCTGTTCTTATTGTCATTCGGTTTAGCGTGGATTGTCATTGGTTGTTGTGCATGTTGTGAATGGCACAAATGTAGGTTGTGATTGTATGCTGTGCATGTTGTCATTCGGTTTAGCGTGGGTTGTTATTGGCTGCTGCTCAGGTCATTGGCCTCTGTTGGTTTGTCACTTGCTTATGCATAGATTGTAATTGCCTGCTGTTCATGTTGTTATTCAGTTTACCGTGGATTGTCATTAGTTGCTATGCATGTTGTGAGTGGCACAAATATAGGTTGTGATTGCCTTATGTGTATGTTGTCATTGGCTGCTGTGTAGGTTGTGATTGGTCGCTGTTTATGTTGTCAGTGGCCTCTCTACATATTGTTATTGTTGTATAGCTAAGTTATCATTTACTTGATATATAGGTTTATTGCCTACAACACTTTCTTTTAAGAAAAGAAAAGGCCATAAAAAATGAAAATGCCATTAGCTATTGGGATAAGGAAAAAGTGAAGGTAAGACTAAAATCAGAAAAGAATAGTGACAGAGACATACTACATGGGGTTACAAATGTCGGTGGGGCTTCATCTAGTGCATCCAATACAAAAATAAAGCTAACCCAACCTGTAAGTAAATCATGTCGAGCTTATTTTGGTGCTGTGTACAATTTGGAGTAATGATTACTTTCATTACTGTTATTTTGCAGGAAATAAAGAGAATGTATGAAAGGTTGGTGAGCATGGTTGAAGGGTTAGTGTCGACAATTGGAGAAGAGTTGGTTTCCCTGCAGTTGAGATTAACAAATGAGATTAAGAAGGAAGATGTGGTGGAAGCAATAAGCAGCAAAGATGATAAAGAGAACACAACTGAAGATGAAGAAACTGGTGGAGAAGGTAAAGGAAGCCCAAAAGATTCAATTCTGTCACAAGAGGAAGAACAGAGTGAACCAGAGAAAGATGATAAAGGAGAGGAAAAAAATGCTCCACATGAAGAAGAAAGTAAATCTCAAAATAAAGAGAAAGGAGAAGGGAGTGAACCAGAGAAAGATGATAAAGAAGAGGACAAAAGTGCTTCACATGAAGAAGAGAGTCAATCTCAACCTGAAGAGAAAGGATAAGGGAGTGACTCTGGATTATAGAATGATGGAGAAGAAAAAACTGAAGACAAGTCTAGTGATGCAACAGCAGAAGAGGATAAGGGTTTAGGTGATGATGAGGAGGGAAAGGATAAAATGAACAAGGAAGCACAAGGGCAAATGGAAGTAAGAAAATCAACACGGTAAGAAGTTGTGTAATCAAATCTCCTTGGTTAGAAGAGGTGAAAAAAGCCCGTGACAAGAGAAAACTTGATAAGAAAGACGAATTATTTCGGATGTACACAACAAGATGTGATGAAGATGAAGGTGGCAAGTAAGTGTTGGGACTGATTGTAATTAAGACAACTAACTAATAATAATTTTACACATACAACTTTTGTGCTGATTATTCCTTTTGCTATAGGTACATTGTAGAGTTGTATGGCTGCTTTCTGACACGTGCTGAGCGTTGCTGCCTACAAGACAAAAAATGGATGAACGACAAGATAAGATAGTTGTTTACATAGATAGAGAACTAGCAATGTCATTATGATTATGACTAATTGTTTATATATGTGATATAGTTCATGTCTATGGTGGTGAGGACTTTGGTGGGAGATGAAAAAGAGAACTACAGTCGTGTTAATAGGCACTTTATCACCCTAGTTAATGCAAACAATAGTCGCTAATCCTTTTAAGTAGAGCATAAAAAAACATGAACATGAAATCTTACCGGAGCACTTAGGATATAACATTGGAAACTATGACTTCATATTTGGTCCCACCTTTTCAATTAGTATTGGTTATGTTATGTGATGGATATAAGAACTATGCATTTCTATGCCCTTGAGTCGTTGGTGGATAATTTGACTATGTTGAGATTACAAAGAAAGAAAGAAGATGCAATCAAAACGGGGAAGAAACCAAAGAGGAAGCAAGGGAAAAGGAAAGGACAGATAGATCCTAAGTAATTCATGACAAAAAGGATTGTATACACAACTTTTCATTCATTCTATAACTTGTTAATGCGTTATGGTTGCTTGTCTGCTTAACTGTCCTGGTTGTTAATGCCTGCTAATTATTTGTCATTCGCTACCAGGAAGGTTGTTAATGCTTCCTGATAACTAGTCATTCACAACTGTCAAACTTGTTCCTTTTTTTTGCTTTTTTCTTGTAGAGAAATTGTTTCTGCCAAGTGTTTCGTGCACTAAAGCCAGCACTATTTACAGAAGAGCACAAAACTGACAATAAAGTCACGTGGGTAAAAGTTCATGTGCAATCTAACACGTGAGTTGTTGTTTTGCACAAGTACTTGTGTTTCAAATTTTGGGAGCTAATGTTTATTGACTAAAGTAATAGTTTTTCCTTTACAGGGACTCTTATGGGGTTCATGTTTTGAGCTGGTTACAAATGTGGGACGGTATCAAGTATGGTGATGAGGGCTACATAATGCCTAAGTACTCTTCTCAAGAAATCCATGATTTGAAGGTTGGATGCTTGTGGTGGCTTGTAACTCATCGGAACAACTTGCATGATGATCAAGTGTTGTCTTTGCTGTGAGGAAACCCGCAAAGCAAGAGGAAGAAATAAATGACGAGCATATATTGTATTTAGTTTTTTTTTATTTGACAGCATAATGACAGCTGAATGTAAAGTTCACATTTTGTTCTTTTCTTTGACCATGTAATGACAGCTGGATGTTAAGATATGTTAATGTGTATTGATATCCTTTACTGGTTATGAAGTTTTTGTAATGGTATTCATATGTTTTGATAATGTCTAGAAATGTAGACTAAATAAAACTGGATAAACAAATGGCAACCATGATGACTTGATAGGCATATATCATAGTCCTCTCTACCACATCCATTTACAACCTCAACGGGGGTTGTTGACAACTTGAAGAGAAGTGGTTAACAACCTTGGCAATGTCCCTCTGTGGGATACCACAACTTCTAAATAGATTATATTATTAGCACATATAACGACCTTAACAAAAAAAAAGGGAGCATTTTGAAGTCATTAATAGCTTTAACTGAACCAAATATGATTACAGTAGATTTTTATTGTAGCGATTCATTTACAACCTCAACGGGGGTTGTTGACAACTTGAAGAGAAGTGATTAACAACCTTGGCAATGTCCCTCTGTGGGATACCACAACTTCTAAATAGATTGTATTATCAGCACATATAATGACCTTAACAAAAAAATGGGAGCATTTTGAAGTCATTAACAGCTTTAACTGAACCAAAAATGATTACAACAGTTTTTTATTGTAGCAATTCATTTACAACCTCAATGGGGGTTGTTGATAACCCGAAGAGAAATGGTTAACAACCTTCACAATACCCCTGACAACTCATGCTGTGGGATATCACAGCCTCCACATAACATCAAATTATAACCAAATCATATCATGTTACAACCTTAACACAACTCGGATGTGTTAAGAAATCATTGAACACTGCAAGTAGGAGAAATTGTCACTTTATATCAATAATATAATTCAAATAGCCAATGACACACTACAAAAAAACATGTA